GCGCGAAATTGTGTAAAAAATATTGACATGTACTACGGAGAAAAGCCTGCTTAGAGTGAGACTTTTACTCGTCTGTCACCGAGCGCAGTGAAACAAATCAAACCTTCAGACGATTATCAGGCTTGCAGGCCATACCGGCCCAAAACTATTTGACCATATAGATACTTCTCTATTCCCATCCCTCATCAGTTACTGCGTTATGCTAGGTTTATTGGAGGCTTCAAAGTCTCCCCATTGGAGAACGCTTCTTTTCCAGGAGCGTACTTCAAGACCCAGCTTCAAAAACATCACAGTACTGGACAGCTAACTCTGAAGTTTGAGGAACTGCCGCCATTTAGACTATAGTAACCGTACGTGGTTCAGTGTTGCAAGCTCTTGGTTTGGGTTCTCAGGTCTCATCTATCGTTCAGGTGTGACCAAAAAAACAGAGTAAACATCTTTATTGTACGTTTAGGGCTTCGTTCTACGCAACTCGTGATTGGAAAAGTAACTCAAATATGCCCAATTACCCTTCTTCCACCCTCACTGTATGATGCTTCACGTAAACCCCGAATTTCCGGCACCTGCGGCTTCACGAAATTCTTAAACCATGACTACATTCTGCACTGTTTAAAAATTGGGAATGGTGACCATACTTAGCCTCCGCTTCTGTCTCCTAACTGAACGCAATATGGGAATTTCAGTTTTTTCAATTTAGGTAATTAAACTCTATCTTTTGTAATTTACGAATAGTTCCTGTGGAATGTGTCGGTCCTGAAAGGCCATTGTGCATTTCAATTCTTTATACTGGTTTGGTTGTTCACTCGATTAGCTGCCACTCAGCAAAATGAGACTATTTGAAATCACAGCTCTTTCAAGCTAGATTGTCTTTTTCAACTCAAATTACGGATCGCGACGGAAACAACAAACAGACCCTTTATTCAATCCTAATTAACATCCCGATCCATACTCTGCCACTTCCTTAGATCTAACCGTTTCCTCCGATTACTGGCTGATTATTTGTCTCCACTAAGCTCCGTCTATTAAAACAAGAGCTACCTCCAGATACATTCTTTTATTTTCCTGCAAACTGAGATGAACTGCATCAATGTTTTACTTGCTTTCCCCAGGAAGTTTTTATTTCCAGTGATGCTATCCTCCACTTCAGCTCCCATATACTGGTCCCTATCCACCATTATTAGAAACTTTTATCAGTTCATCCTTTCCGATGACTTAGCGAGCCTGGTTTGTTTCCCACTTACAGTCCTCCGAAAGCTAGCTCCTCTCATCGCCCATCGCTTCCATCTACCCCTAAATAGTATTTATCTTCTGACTGGGAGACTTCACACATTTCCTTACTCTCTCTCATTCCAACCTGAACAGCTAGCAAACCCGATGATTCAGATGCATTCGGTCTGTCTCGATAGGTTAGTGGCGACACACTTGCCTTACATTCAGATGTTCTGAGTTCGAGTCTCGGCTACTGGTGATATCCTATGAGGGCGGGACTAGGATCCAAAGCTTTCTCACGGTGTTACGGATAAACCAGTATACTTGGGCCCAGGAGAAGAGCGGAAATGAATAAACGAGAGCGACTTGGGCACAAGAACTATCGTTAGATTTCCATCATCTTATCTTCTCCAGAGTTCTAGAGTCCATCTTGACTGAGCATCTGCAAGGGCTTTGGTGCGTCGCCTTCTTGGGCGAATACCAATGTGAACTTGAAGACAGTCTCACCACAGGCTATTGAATGACCATCCATCTGGGACTTCGTTGTTGAAAAGGAATTAGTCCGCCTGCACGTTTCAAGAGCATTCGACCGAGTATGCCATGAGGGTCTCTTCATCCGTCTCTCTATCCTTCTTGAATCGCCAGGACTGGAATATTTCATTACGACCTATTGAAGTCCTGTCTGTCCTGTTTCTCGGACTCGCAGCATCAATACAGAAGTAGCGATTCCATCACTCATGGGTTTCCAGGTGTATTTATGCAGTTCCACACGATCCTGCCCTCAGACATATACTTTTCATCCAGAGCGATCTCCCTTGGTTCATTTTGGTGCAAACGAACTACCTATTTGGTGTCTATCTCGATGACATCCACGAGCGGATTTACAGTCCGTGAAACCGCTTTTCGCCTACAAACGCACTTAAACTTCAAAGACACGACAAACCTACGACTCTACAGAATCTAAGACCAAAGGAAAAAACGCCCACAAAATTTTTCTCAGAAAGGGGCACTCAGATAAATGTTATCTAGAGATCTCTCAGGGAGCTAAACCTGACAAACACAACAGAACAAAGTGGGGGCAAATCCGTCACACTCCCGTACATCAGGAACACCGCAGAAATGACCGCGAGGCTCTCACAGCAGCACAATACGGCAGTCCCATACAAACTTACGAATGCTTTGTGGAGAACACTATCGAAACCTAAAGGAAAACGGGATACAGTGATGAAGAGCACTGTCATATATGGGATGCATTGCAAGAATTGCGACAGATGATACCTAGGACAAACGGTAAGGAAGCCCTCCAACAAAATAGATAAACATAAGCTCGCTTCTAAAAGACACGATCAATTATCTTTCACCTCCGTGCACAAACAGAAAGGGTACGAGTTTGACCGGAGTGGCGCTCACATACTGGATTAAGCAAGAAAGAGCAAGGAACTCAAATCTAGAGGGAGCGTGGTTCTCCACTGAAGAAGCGATCAACGAAATATCGAAACTGAGCCCATTTGTCAAACCCTGGGAGAATGAGGACGCCAGAACTACAGAGCTCTGAACTGCATAAGAAACCAGACGAGGAACTACTAACAGAGGCCGGAAAGCTCAATTTGAACGGATACATCAGTCTGATTGGATGAGGCGCTGAGCCAATACATCAAACAACCTAATTAACATGCGGACATCGGGACACCAGAAAACAGAAAAAAATGAGCGGTGCAACCAACCAATCAACCTCGAGGTCAGACCACAACACAAGCTGAGAAGGCGCGGATCAAAGCAAAACTAAAAATAGGAAGCATTAGGATAACCAACTGACTCACACAATGTATCAAAGAGCACAAGCGAACCAATCAATTCAGAAAAACGCTGTCTCCTAATCAGCCAGTCATGATAAGAGGTAACAGATAATCTATAAAAGCACCCATGCAAGAGGATATACCCACCCAACTGCCCACTGTTGATGGTGACAAAAGGTTTGCAAGTCGATTGTCAAGGTATGGCAAACAGATCAATAGACAAAAAACTCAGTATATTGCTAGTTTTGGCACCCTTCCACAACCTCGTGCGTTTTCATGTTGTATCAATTTATAGCGATATTTCCTGGTCTTCTAACTTCAAGTAAATTAATACTGCGGCATTCAGAAAAGTAGGACTTTTATTCCATTACCAGCATTCCTCTGCTTTTTTGAACTCCACTTAATCTGCAAGTCAAGAAATCCTCATTATTTATCAAGTGGACTACCACCTGACTTTCAATCCCGGGCAGATTTAAGGGCATCTCCTAATCTGACAAATGACTCCTTTTCCAACGTCTTGACATGAACTCCATCGGCGAGTGTCTTTCTGCCTTTGTCTTTTCCGCTCCAATTCCCCAGTCACTCGCTCATGAATGCTGCCTTTTCACTTCTACCAGTAATTTCCTGGTATCAGTACACCACTGTCAGACAATGAATCTTATTTTTTCGTTTTTCCCAAAACAGCACCATTTTTGAATGCCTTCTTGCATTTTTGAGGTTTGTGAGCAATCGCTGCTATCCTATTTTTCCAGCTTCCCACAGACATTTGTTTTAGACTAAGTTCAGCTCTTTCCTGTTCGTTTTTCATTGACTTTTATATCTACGGTCGGTCATGTTTCATGTATTTTAAAAGTTAGATGTGCTTTTTCCGCATTCCGCTATCCTCAGAGGGGCCCAACGAACATTGGTTTGCCATTCCATCATGAGTATTAAATAAATCAACAGCTATCTGTCCATTGGTCATTTTCACGAGCCAAACACCTCTCATCTGGACACTCTGGCAGCTGGCTATAGCTGGTCTTTTGAAGGCCTGAGTATGTGTTAGTCGAATTTCACTACACATGCTACAAATCCCACCCAAATACTACGAAGGAGCAGACTCGTTATGGTCTCCTGGCGCATTTAACTAGAAGCAACACTGGAATTTACAGTAAACCGATCGAAAAGGAGTCGTGTCGAGGACGTTTATGTTGGAACCTGGGGTCTCTAATACTATAGTCCACCCGGCAAACAAACAAGATTTCGTAAGAAGCGCAACTAAAAATTGGATGACTGGAGATGAGTCAATCTGGTCATTGTAGGAACAGGATCCAAGGAAGTGCATATAGGTATATGGTGCTTTACTCTCGTTTTTTTCTTGGTTTATTTACTATCACTTAAACCCGAGAGCTCTTTGAAGGACACCATAAAAATTCCCCGAAGGTTATGTTGTCCTATTTTCCCGGGCGATAGCATATGCAAGCAATCAATTTCGCCTAACGATACCGGTATTTCTTGTCTCAGTTGGTAATTTTATTTTACCTGTTTTGCTCAAGTGATTTACTAAATGCCAACTGAGAAAAAAAGCAATCACTGCAGTCGGTCCGACCAAATGACGAACAGGACAACATCAGTGACACGTGGAACGATGTCCTAAGTGTGTGGTGATTGTTTCATCGATTGGTAGATGTTTCTGGTTCAAGTATCCATTTCAGTATCCATTTTAGTTAATTGGGTGAAACCTAGAAGACGACGAGATGCGCGAGGGTACGTTAACTTCAGATCTGTTGAGGCAGAACACATCAGACATGCTTTGGCTATCACCCCCATTGTTTGGCTGTCATTCAGGTTAACCCACATAGAGACAACTTATTGGGACTTTAGATTCTTTGGTTTAAAGTGCATGGTAAATTGGATTTCATTTTGCACCCACACACATGCCCAAGTTGATTGGTCGTTGGGGAACAAAAATATTCCGTATAATAAACCGATAATGTGGCAGCTTTGCCACATGTAATGTGCAAATTTGGAGCTTTCGTGATCGGAATCTTGTTTTTGACAGGAGTTGATCGGGGGAATTGTCTAGTCACTACACAAAACCCAACTATTGTTCCCCCTTGCTATGAATGTTTGTTGCGTCATGAAAGCAAGCAACCTGAATCGAATCAGGTAGGTGACGTTTTTTGGATTTCGCGGTTTTTGTTCTTGTTGTTTTGCTTTCTACACGACAATGGCCCAATAATTTAATCTAAGCGGCCTTGACGTCCTTTTAGGAAAGCTCCACGTGATAATCAAACCAACATAGTGACCGACCCCTTACTTATCACTTAAGCGGTTCATTATGAACGTATAACTAGAATCTTCCATGGGAATTGTGAACGACAATAATTTCAGTCTGTCGCATGCTAATGGTGGCTTGTCTCTTCTAGCAACAGGATTTTGATATAAGGGCATAGAGTTCCTTTAGCATTTTTCTTGGTGATTTACCTCTGCCTCTTTATTACGATTTCACCAGATAGAGGAATTCCGATGCGTTAGGAGAATCAAATATTGGCCAAAACAGGGCATGTTAATCAAATCCAGAACTTACGTTCAATCCATTTTAGTGCACAAAACTACCCAGCATGTTCTCCGTGGTCTGCACTGGATTGTGCTACGTTGTGAATAGTTAAGGGATTTGTTGGCTTTATATTCACGTAAATCTCATTTTAAAAAATCCTCCTTCTGTTCGGACACGACCAATCTGTTTTGTTGAAATTCGGGAAGCTCCGAACTCCAGGTTAACCCCTATTGGAGCTCAACATGGCAGATGATAAACGTTCGCATACTGAAAGCGTTCAATGCAGTGTACTCAAACAACCGGACGCGGTCACACTCGAGCGGCGATAAAATAAAAAAACCTTTCGGTGGGTACCTAAACCGGAAGTCTTCGCCAGCGGGCCCATCAGTCGACAAAATCAGGACGGTCTGTTCAGAACTGATAAATCAAGTCCATCCGTTGTGCTCTGATAATATTGTGGTAAGATATCCGGCATGAACAACAGTATGCACGTTCAAGGGTTTAGTGAGGATTTATCCCTGTTCACGGCTCAGATTACTCAACCAATGCCATACATGGGAAACATCGACAAACAAACCGGCACCGGGCTCTGTCGAATACCAAGGAATCTCGGTGCATGTTGAATGAAACACCAATTAAGTTCTTCCATTGGTTCTGCCGGGGCAAGAGACGTGGCTTAAATCGCTGAAAACAACAAAAACGTCAGTAAACCGTCCGCTGAACGACATCTGAAGATAACGAGACAGAAGTACAGAGAATACAAAGGAGCATATACAATGGATTTGACTTAATCTACACCAGGATGCTCAATTAAGGTGCATTTACGGGCCCTATATGAGAGCGAAATACAAGCGAATAGAAGTGAATTCGTTGTTCAGGCTGGTGTCTTTATTTGGAGAACTTTACAGAGCCAGAAATGGAGGAGAAACAGGTAAGCAAATTACCACACCTTTTGAGATCGACCAACCAGACATATGAACGAGGCCAAATTCAAAATCGAAGTCCTTGTAGAAGTAACAACTGTTTTCTAACGGTCCAAGTGAACGATATTTTGTGGGCAGCAGTTTGTTGTCACCTTCTTACATACCATAATGTTGTCCGTGAAGAGAAATTAACGTACACTGGGCAGACTTGACTCCTGCCACACATTTGTTAAGGACAGTTCGTCTTCAATCAACACCAAGTCACCAAATTTACAAGCATCCCTCGATGTCAACAATGGGTGTCTGATTCCCAAATTCCACAAGACTTCCAACTACTTTTCGAAAACGAAAATTTGCCAGATGTACTTGCCTCTAGACTCCTGTGTAGAACTTGCGTAACCTAACTGCCGAACCCGGAATTCTTGTGAAACAGTAGCATGTCACTGAGACGGAGCGCCGTATATCCTATCGTCTGGTTATCACTGGGAATAGAAGCAAATTACTGATGATTTTTCGACTTCTACCAAATACAATGTCGCTATTTAATCTCTCAAATGTTGCTGTCGTGCAACACCTATGTTCCGCCCAACTTAGCGTACCATGTACTACCGAGCACCATCACTTCTCTTCCGTGCTTATTATGACAAGGTTTGTAAGGGTTTGAAAAAGTCACGTGTTTTGAGGCCATCAGTTTCTTTTATCATCCTTTAAACACAGAGGCGTAAGCTGACAGAACCTTTTTCGGAACGGAAATTTGTCTGAACCCATCCTAGTAGAACAATTCCTCTATTGTTGAGTCATCACGTGACAGTATCAGGCATGAACTGGCATGAACGGAAACCCGCATATCACGTTCCGCGTTCGATGTGCTTGGCTGAATTTGATTTTTGTTTTTCCTTCTGAATCGAATGCAAGTCGGTTTCACTCACTCCATCGTGATTGGGGCCAATGCGACACTGGTAAAGCCCATGCGTTGCAGACTGCGCCCCTAAGTTTTTTTCGGCGCTCGCTTTGCCTTTAAATGCATACCTTTCTCAGTGCTTTCAGTGAAAATATGTCATCCACACACTTGTTTGTGCATGTACCAGTGTGGTCACTACAGTGCGACGTCACGTGTGATAAAACTGCCTACACTGTTTTCATTCACAAACCACTGGGATTTCGTAAATATCTAGACGGGAACCACACGAAAAGTGCCATTTTTGGGACGATGTGTTTTGTGTTAGCTGTGATCTACACCGTCCTTCCTTGCTAGAATGCCAGGTGACGTAGGTATTTTCACTCCGTTGATATGGTGGAAACGGGAACAAACTTACGGCTGCAAAAAGTTCAAAAGTTTTGATTACTCTGGCGTTTCATTTCATTCCTATGAGCACAGACAATTTGTTTGCGGTCGCGATGAGTATGCTTCACCATTCGCCGTGAAATACGCTGCCAATAGCAACTAGGGGAGCACGCATTGTTAATAGGTACACGGAGTGGTTGTCCCTTATGTCTTGCTCGGGGATTTTTTTTGAATTTTTAAAATGTCAAAATGTCATGTGCCTGTTCGAATGGTCATGTGTGGGCATTCGAATTACATTGTACTAAAGGATAGGTCTTCAAGACCAAACATCAAGCATATCATCTTACAGGGCCTAAAAGTCTGCATTAGGGAAGAGCATCCATATCATCAAGAAGTGCTAACTGAGATAGAAAATAAAATCTACCATCTCATGCCAAATTGGTTCAAAACTTCGGGAAATGTACCGTTTTTTGACTTATAATCCAAATAGTTTAATTTTCTTTTTCTACACGTTTCCACCAGCTTCTATCTCGACGTTTCATGACCCTCGTTAAACTCCAAAATAAGGCCAAAATTAACTTGACATCATTTAAAAACTTAGCTGTCCTCGCTTTATAGGCCGGGCACGTCCAAAATTTTCTCAGTTACTGTTCAAGGAATCACGGATAAGCTTATCATCCATCACGGTTGAACGCTCAGGCATAGGTTTTCATGTACACCGTGGTCTGGCATGCAAATAAGTAACGGGAGACGAGTAGTCAGTAGCGAAATAACCACGGATGGACTGAGGATATCCACATTAATCTGTACTGTTCGACTGGAAAGTATATCCTTGCAAGACTTGTTAAAGAAGTTAATTCTACGGAACACAGTTTGACGCATTCCCTGGTTTTATTCGCTGAGGGGGGTTGGCAACGGGAAATTCATCGGCAACTTGAAGAGTGTGAGACAACAGAGAGGGACTGCTGATGTGTAGTGTGGGGCAGTCACTGGCGTCTGTGCAGATGAAAGCTGAATTTGACAAAAATGATTGTGCCACAGATTTGTTTTTTTTCAGAATCGCGGTTGAAAGGCACAAGTGATTTTGAAAACTGTGAACCTGGGATAAATATGCTATTGGGAGCGACCTAAACAGTAAAGTCTGGTCACTTAGACTTAGACGGATTGCCGCTTATAACCAAAAGTGAAACCAGGTGGTAGATGCGAACTCAGCAATCTAGCAGCACCGCAGAGATTAGGAAACATCGTGTAAACGAGGAGCGGAACAAACAGCCTCACAATCATCAACTAGTGCTGAAAGAGTGCGAAGTGAATTTGAACACTCTCTCATGGGAATAATGTTTCTCTGTTTAATTTTTCCTAACAGTAGAAGATCATGACCTAATTTGTTGTAGGCGTCTGAAAGGAGCTTACAGGGAATGCTCTGGAAATCACTGCCAAACTTCGGCCTATCGCTCGAGTCTTTTGGTCCCCTAACTTTTTGGCTCGGTTTCAGCATTGTTAGCCTATCACATTCCAACATGGGATTGTCGTGTCCCGTGCTGAATGATTATACAATTGTCGGTTTAGCGGTGACAGACTAATTTATTGCCTGTAAACCAGTTGTGTTTCAGGCCGTTGCCAAACTCTCACCAATTACGTGACCAGCAGCAAAGCGACTCACTTTGATTCTTAAGATTCGGCTTCATACTGAAAGAATCAAATGAACTATCAATGGATAGTTTCTTAACTTCTGCACACTTTTGGTACCAGATCTTAGGAAGTCGAAATATAATTTTTTTAAAAATAGTCAATTGTCCTGATATGTCGCCATCATGGTTTGCTGCATTCATATTTTTCCATATCGGACCTACCGGTGGGTTGTTAGAACCAGAACTATTTCATGCTGACTGAACAACCTCAGATGATACTGTCATCGTGAATTTGTATTCTAACCCCGTGGATTTAAATTGACCGAATGTCCCCGAGAACACCAGAGGAGAAACATTTTCGGCGACACTGAACATTTTCGATATGAACCCCTTTGGGGATAGAACTTCCAGAACCAAAAAGGTGACCCCGCATTATTCCTAAACCAAGACGTTTCATACGATTAGCCAAGATCATTCGTTGACTGTCTCAGATATAAATGATAAGATGTACTTTCGCAACACTGTGTCTGACTTAAATTCATAGGTAAGTTAGTCTGGGATGTACACACAGCTGTATTCGCTAGCACATTTCACAGTGGAAATCCCGGTTGCGGGTAATGAAACTAGGTGATTGGATAAAGCATGCAATGATAGCTCAATACTTACGACGTCCTAAGTGATTGATACGGCATATTAGTTATATACGGATACGTTCTTTAGTGGCTGTTTCCCCGAACAGTCAGTTGGGAATACACTCGGTCATGAACATTGCGCTTGTAGATGTCAAGCAAGGGTGTGTGGGTTTCAGAGATATGTGGACCGCTCACTGCAGACAAAATGCTTCCCGCGGTTAGTATGAATCCTATACACACTTTAAGTCTGCCTATATAAGCTGAATTGCATTGCTTAGTGCGAAAAGTGTGATATTTGTTTAAAATTAGACGAAATCCCACGAGGAAACACCCTTTTGAGGGGACCATTTCAGATCCATCGAGGAGATAAGCCGTTCCTGATTGTTGTTTCTCTCATGATAGACACCTAGTTCACACATCATTTTCCTCTTTCCCGTCATTCTTTAGATTTTGGGTGCATGCCCGTCCACCTGTACGTGTCCAAATGGCCAGTCAGTAGATACAAAACCGGTGTGTTCACCGGGGGTTTCGATTATTCGAGACGGGTGCGAATGTTGCTGGATTTGTGGTCGACAAGCAGGCGAGAGTTGTTCTTTGCGATACAAGTGCGATCCTGCAGAAAAACTGCATTGTTTTTATGAGTCAGCACCAAAAGATTCATATGAAGGGCGGTCATCGAATATGGCTACAAGGAAACAATTGACGCTATTCCCTTCTCATGGTGAGGACACGGGTGTTTGCTGGAGTAAGTCCGTAGATTTCATAATTTCATTTTGCGTAGAAATTATGGGAAGCTGACTAGAGTAGAACCTTAATAAATTCAATAGTTTATTTGGCTACTTGATACCAGATTTTGTTTTCAGAGCAGGCTTTCGAGAGATCCCGCCTGGTTCGCTGCTGATGTTATTATTCACAAGGCAGCTCGATACCACATGACACTTGCTTGAAAACTGTCATGGAGTAACTTCCGGAAAAGGCTATGGCGGAATATCTTATTCCACACATCCTACAGAATACGAGTTAATAGCATTGAGCGTGATGAAAAGTGGTACGATATCGTGAGTATCACAAGACTGAACCGAGAGTTATTTTACGCGCCGTCTGAAGGCTAAAAATTCTCCGTTAGAATGCGTGCATTGAAGGTACCGGGCAATGAACGCACCTCCAGCCTGCCTGGGGTTGCAGCCAGTCCATGTGCCTAGTTAATTTACCATGTTTCAGAACCCACATTAGAGAGTGAAGTTGCATCCTGTTTCATCAGGAAATGACGCTACATGAACTCCACTCCAACATTGGTTCAAATAAAATAGTTAAATCCAAATCAGGGTCTTGTAGACGTTGTTTTTTACGAGTCTCCGTTTTCTACGTGGTGTTGACGGAATGTACAACTGAAAGCAGAACGGTCGGAAAGAAGGTTGTCTAGCTGCGTCCACTCTTCAAAGGTGACTGTGATCAGTCATTCTTCCCAGTGGAAGACGTAGTGCCAAGGCATCTAATTTACAATGTTTTGAGTCGGATGATCACCGTTAAATTTTGATACCGTGAAGAAGAGATATACCCGGATGCAGTAAACTCTGAAGCAAATGGCCAACAAAATTTCTACGAAAGCTTGTGCAAAGATATTACATATTCAACTGATCATTATCACGTTTGGAAATGCTTCATGTTCTCGGTAGTTTGCTCAGAAAAAAAAACAACAAGAGGTAATACCGTGAATACTGCCTTCTCAAAGGGAGGGCCCTCTTAGGTCTTTGTGAACATGCTCTGAAACCGATGCAAGATTGAATAACGAACCACCGGTGATTCCGATACCGGTGGTTTGGTCTCTAAAGGTATAAAGTGAGTCATTTTCCCGAAAATTTACAACTTTCTCAAGCATTACACAGTCGTATCGATTATCACACATTCTGGTCATAATTACCGAGCCAAAATGACAGAAAAATTCATGCAAAACCACTTATTCTGTAGATCACGTTACACTACAAACTCCCAATTTTCTGTATGCAGATTATTTTATTACCATGTCAAGCACTGTAAGGAAACTAGCCAGAGAGATAAATCCAAAGCAAGAGGCGCAAGCAGCGGAAAAAAGTGTGAAGGTCTTCCTAGCCTTTCTCCTTAGAATGTCAGTTCAAAGTGCAACGAATTCACACTCATGTGATGAATGGGTCCCGAGAAGAACCGCATACCTTTATCACCCAAATTGATAAGATGAGTATTGGTGAACAGGTGGTCAAAACATAATAATTTTAGTTTCTGCATAAATACGCTCTTTAACGCTATTGTATGTTTAACTCAGTCACTACATGGACAGGACTTCGACCCTCATGACTTGAGCGCCTACAAATGGACCTCGACACACCGTTTGATTGTAATTGAGGGAATACCAGTGACTAAGCCCCGTTTGGTTTGTGTGCATTTTCATTGGTTCACAAAGCTGGTACGACCATCGTACGGAAAACAAAAATGAGTAATGCACAAAGTCCACTAAACAACCCATTATGCAAATGCCATTTTTCGGCATATTCGGAACTAGTCGACAACAGTCCGTGTCGCGACTGAGGGTCGGGTTTAAACTAGCAGTGCTGTGAACGCTTTCTTGTAGTCAACTTATATTGCAACGATGAGTTGACCTTTTGATGGAACTCATATCACTGGTTTTATAAGTGAGTAACTTGATCGTCCACTTGCTTATACGTTTGCTTTTAGCTGAACCACCATGAATACTGTTGCTTTTCTGATTGACCTTATCTGTAAGTAAAGAACCGCAGAATGCGTGCTCTTATTTGGAGAGAGCAAACTGCGTATTGAACCCAAGCGTTTTCCCATGTTTTTTCCATCTGTGTCCGCCGCCGTCCTTGTTGATATACAATTCAGTATTTTTTGCACAACTGGCGTTCTCTCTTGAATCTACCTGCGTCCACATAATGTCAGTGGCTGTCTGCACCGCAGTAATATCGAAGTTATTTAAAAGACTCTGGAACAGTGCCTATTTGTTATTTGGTTACTTATTCAATTCCTTCAGTTTCTCAAGGTGAAAAATTGTATTAAATGTAGTAAGAACTTATGACCATCGCATGCTCTTGGGTCCTATTTTCATATGAATTCGCTGTTACTTCCACAGCCTACATCCTGATGAATGATGCAGGAATTTCTCTTCCACTAGGTTTTGACTTGATGGCAGATGGTATTAAAGGAGATTAGTTCAGTAATCCCAAGCTAAATTTCATGTCATTGCCTTGCTTGGTGGGCATATTCAGCTGGTAAAATCTGCAGAATTCGGCGTTTAGTCGCCTGATAGCAGTCACTTGATGCCTGAATAGGCTGTAAGCTGAACCATCTTTTGCAATAAGGGGCTAATTTCAGGGTGAATATTCGATACTACTGAAGTTTTTCAGCATTTTAAAAAGTCCGGTTTCAGGAGAAATACTGGAAGTTTGGTGGTCACATTTACCTGGTGCACTAAAGACTCATGGTACCATGAGAGCAAGGTTGATTTAGTTATCGATTATTGGCTAGCCGTACTATTACCGCATTCTCCCTCAGTGGGCAACCTGAGGCATACTATTCTGGGCTCAGCAGTTTCGTTCATACCTCATTATTCACATCAATTTAAACACAGAATATCTGTGTTGGATTTGACACGGAATGCTGGGAAGGATGTAGTTTTTAAACAGACAGTTTAGGTGATACCCACAGTGAAAAGTGCCCAATGTGTGACCATGCATGACGAGTATTTGTTCGTCAACCAACCTTGAAATTGTCTGATAGTGAAGGTGGCAAATATTGTTGTTTCATTTTTTGCCCCGTGGGTACCAATCAGACTCGTCACATTATGTGGGCGACACGTGTCCCGGCCAGTTTTTTCCCTTTTTATTCTGAAAAAGTAGGAGATTACAGGCCTGTTGGAGTGGTTCTCCTAACCAACATGATGGCTTACATTTTTATCGCACCAAATTCCAACATGAATGCCTTGCTACCTGAAATACAACACAGCAAAATATGCCCTCTGTGTCGTAACAGATACTTGTAACAGTCCGTAGAACGTTTTCCTTACATCGTACTCACTTTTTTCAAAGTGTTACCTACTTCATAATGAATGACATTCTGTAAGTTCCTACGAAGCATGAGAGCTCAATGTTTCTGAGACGCGTACTTGGATCGTAGCTGGTTTTTTAGGAGCACTGGGCAGATTTTTCCAAAGTGGAGCACTGAACCGTTCCACTATCAACGGTATGTTGTAACTTTATGTAAATGAGTACATTTGGTGTGGATTCTATTCTCGGTAAGAATGTGCCTTGTATTTTCATCTACCGACGCTGACGTCCTCTTGGATTTCCAACTCGCCGAGACAGAACATAACTCAGCAGACTTGACGAGATCAATTTAGACCTTGATAAGTTTCACCGTTATGCGCTAGTAACCTTTTTGCGAAATCTAGCTTTTGAGCAAGTTTAGCTTGGTTCTGAGCCATCTCTTTTCAAAGTCACTGTCAACCAATTTGGAATAGTTTAACAAAATCATGATCAGCACCTCACAAATAATGCTTCACAACAACCTTTAACTCGGCTTTGTGAATATATTCATCCACAACTTTGTACAAACGCTCTAGTAGTATACTTAGCTTAAATTCAATCTACTAGAGGTGGCCAATCTAACAACTGAGCGGGGCGGAACTTAGGCTATAACCGAGTATCGCATCTCCCGTGTAGTTAAGGCAACGACGGCCGATTCCAGTATTCGGGTGCATATGCTAGAATCCTAGTGACCGTTCATAATTGCCAATTTTCACACTTCGTTAGATTACAAGACGCCTCAAACAAGCTCTCCCACTGCTGCACCTGATTCCCTTCTTACGGGTGTCTTATCCGTATCCTAGGCACATATAGACAACTGATGTTGATTGCGTATGACGCTACGTCACTGTCACTTAATCAAATGACAGGAGATTTAGTCCAATAGAAGAATCAACGAATACGAAGGCATTTCCATCTACACCGCCGTCTTGAAATATTTCAGAAGTGCTGTCACTTCGTGCAATTTTCGAATGTGTCTGACGGAAACATCAGAAGTGAGCTTCGTTCTGCTGCGCTTGTTGCACCAGTGCTGAAAAAATTCACCCTATGCTTTTTGAAATGAGCAAGTTATTATCATAATTAGCCACTAACACTGGCGCGTAGATCAAGACGTCATGGTACTTATTGTTTCGACTGAATATGATGAATGGACGGGCAAGTTGAATAGTCCAGCAGGACAATTAAGCGGTTCTTGCTTCTAAAGTTCCAAACAGCTGCGTTCTGTTCCATCCCCTCCCCCAAGTGTTTTGTTCTATTAATCTTGTAACGGAGATCTCCACCCGATGGTGACCTATTGCAGCTCACCAGTACGGAGACTGTACTAACCATAAAATGAACTTAGAGCCTAATTCGAGAAAGAGGACGATGAAACTTTTGTCCGCTGGCCAAAATTTTCACAAGTTGAGTGTAGAGTTTTTTAGGCGGAACAGCCAGGAAAACGAAGTATTTTCCCCAATAAGGATTGCCAGTCAAAAATGTCCAAGATAATCCCTTCTAAGGCGAGGCCTTTAATGAGGATCAATAAAATCCTTAGATTTCGATGAAAGTTGAATGAATCTTAATTCAACAACTTGATTTTCTCATATTACATGACATTTTTGTTTACTGTATGTACACGCTTTGAAATGCCAATTTTGTGTAATGGACAACAAACACAAAAGATTCTAGCAAGTTCAATATCACTTTTTTCTCAAAAGTTCACTAACAGGATTAGGGACACTGAAGATTTTTCCTTGATGCCAAAATCAGTCTCGTTTTCCTTGCAGTCTCCTCTTCATTCGATTTGTCTGATTGGTCAGCCCAGTCTTTTCATCACGTGAGGAACGTTGTCCGTGGTGAGATAGCGTGAAAAACTACTGTTGGCGTAGTGACGAGCTCTTATATCATCAGTTTACGAAACCAGCAATGGAAAGATTGACTTTAATCCAGGTCGCATACATGTCGATGAAATGCACAGTTGGTAGCTGAAAACGGCTGAACCTGGCCTGAGCTATGCACATCTAGTTGTTCTTTCATGCTTGCATTGTGGGACTAATTGATCAGTGGTCATCCCAATGAGTCTACTCAACCAATTGTAAAAGGAAGCGAAATTGGCCTGGAATATGCTTGTACAGGAAAATCAAACTTTGTATTGCATTCGGGGACAAGACAATCCACTATGCTTTCACTTGTGCGACCCGATGGTGCACTGAGTTTCATACAGTCAAAGTAAGTACTATCAGGAAACAACATGTGAAACGTTCATTAATTTTTCACGATAACACAAAGCTTACATTCATAGTCATCAGCAGCTAGAGATTAGCCTAGAACTGTGCAGTGACCTCTTTTTGCCTAAACCGAAAAATTTTCATATCACCCTCGAGGTGTGAAAAATCGCCCTTTTCATGACGTGATCGTTCAGAAATTTTGGGCCACTTAACTAGACTACCAGCACGCAAGTGGGATGGAATGAGATGCCTGAGCTCTAGACATTTGTTACTCTAGGTAGCGCCGATCACTAGTATGCTCACATCAATGCTGTGATACACGAAAGCCACTGTTGCGGACTTTTCGGCCGACAAGCTGATTAAGTAGTATCAAGAATGCTCAGCGGAGGTAGTCAGAAGAGGCAAACTTAGAATCGAATATCTTGGTCTATCTTTGCTCAGAAGAAACCCACTTCCAGGCCAAACGCCTTTCGGACTGTCTGACTGTGAAGAAATGTTCTGGGATATGGAATATAAGGACCAAGACTGCCAAGTATTTCCGGTACTTTAGGGAGAAGGTGGTTGGCAATTTGTCCATCATTTTGAAGGCGAATTTGTGGGATTGGGACAAAGTGGTTTTTATGGAGAGGCGGCCACCCTATGGACAGAACAGATTTTGGGGGACAACTCTATCACAGAAGTCCGCCATCTAAAAGGCACCGTAAGGAGCCACCTCAATCTTGTCATGTTTTGGATGTCTTCCTCTCAATGAATCAGGTCAGTTTTCATAAAGGAAACTACTCACGCGGTTGCTAGAAACTCTTCGACAGCCCACGACTGGTTTCGCCCTTCTTCGGGCCCATCAGGTAGGCGCAGTCCCCGAGTTTCCGTCAAACTTATGTTCTACTTGAACCCAAATCAATCTGGATTTCACGAGAGACCTCGAATGAATTCTCGTTTATGATATTCTACAAAACGTTTGACGGAAACTGTGCCTACCTGATAAGCCCCAAGAAGGGCAAAACCGGTCGTGGGCTGCCGAAGAGTTTTCAGCAACCTTGTGAGTAGTTTCCTTTATGAAAATATACTGCGATATCTCGAATATTATGCCAACCGAAAGATGAAGCGGCCTGTGTGCAGCACATTCAGTTGCAGAATATCATAAACGAGAGATTCATTTGAGTCTCTTGTGAAAACCGAATTTATTTGCAAATGAGTGTATTTCAGGTCAGTGTTGTTTTGAACTGCTCGTTCATTTTCTGAAGAGATAGCCAAGTTGCATCAACTGGAGTTTCTTCAATTTCATTGCAGGGTTTAATAGTGGCTGCAATCCATCGCAACAGCCGAGTTTGTCAAAGATGTTTTTTTCAGAATAAAATCCCATGCATTGAGTGACTGAATGTTCCATAACGTTTCGTTTCTGTAAACTCCGCTGGGAGAAAAATTTTCTGTTTGGAAAGGTCCCCGATATACCGCGTACTCTGAGATCAGCGTGTCAATTTTTTTAGTGGCGGGAAGTTTATTTCCGTTCGTTTGATATCAATCACTGAAAATTTTTACGCCCAAATCTGTTGACAGAGATCAACGGACGCTCGTGTTACCTCAACAACACGTGGTTGGCACACAGTGGTGTACAAAAGTCCGGCTGCAGGCACCAATGTGTCTGTATAGATGGGACGCTACTCTGTACGGATGTGTGCCTTCAACAAGAGCTTCGTCGTCCACCTGATGCCTTGTGCGATCAGCCGGTCACTGACAGCGGAGAAATGATGCAGCTGAAGCTAATGCCTCCAGGACCAGGAGAATGTTGCCGTCGCTGGATGTGTGTAACAGTTGTCAATCCAGATCGAATGGATGATGAGATTCCAAAACCGAATGGAGCTAGCGCACTCAATTTTCAGGCACGTGGTAAGGACAGTACATGTCATAGTCAATTCGGTTTGAAGTGGTATGGTGGCATGATGTGCTTTTTTTGTTTCTTGGTTACAATACAAGAGAACTGGTGGTTGGAATGTTTGCCGAGCTTAGCAGTTTCCGGAAAACCATGTCAAATTCGATTTTGACGAAAATCTAGGGCATGCCTTCCTTATCATTGCAAGTCTAGTGCACATCGTCAACCAAGTCAACCAAGCAAGGGGAGGCATTTTCAAGCAATCTTCGGAATGGAGCCATTGAAACAAACGGTGAATTACCGTGGGTTACAGCCATACAAGAAAGTGGGTACTTTTGTGGACGACATTTAGAGACCTCATTTTAACGCCATTAACCTGCACTGGACCGGTTTGGAGTAATTTGCATACAGACCCATGTCAGCCGGTCCACGGATTTATCCAGCCATATTTTAGAAATTAAGACCCAAGTCAACCCACATAATGTCACTTTTAAACCAGAACGACTCGTAAGTTTTATTGCAAACACCTTGTTTATTGTGATGAAACAGACTCCCGAGTGCTATCTGCTCTTGACAGGCTTTGAGCTTCTGAGACCTTGCTTCTGTCTGCAGTTCAAACAACCGACGAGTTCTAGAAACCCACTGCAACTTAATGTGCTCCGAAAGGGGAATCCATAGAATTTGTTTTGTCAATCCATTATCGGATGTGGTCATCTCCGAATAGGTTTATGGGAAAACAAAAGAATCGCAACTTTTTGTAGCTGTTTACAACTGGTAGGAGAGGTGAGGGAAATTCCGCGGGCATATAAATGTAGAAAATTTCAACACTTCTGTTCGCAGGGACAGTTTGGACACACGTCTGCTATGACACGCAGTATCTGGGACTTTTATTGGAACTTATGAACAGCCTGCTACCGGTTTGATTCTAATTGGGGCTCGGCAGGTAGGAGTAATGCTGAGATATTTGTCAATTTTTTCCGCGACACGAACGTTTACACTTAGTTGCAAATATGTTAGTATCTACGGATGACTCAACTGAATCTCAGACCGATCTCCCCTTTGTTAATAGTCTACAACAGAATGTACTACCCAAAGGTCATCTAAGTTTCCAGATAAAACGATATCCAAACTGTTAAAGTATTTTATCTGACACAACACTACCTATATGGTAAATGAACTTTACTAATGAGTATGTGACCTGAGAGTGGTTGCTGAGACTTGCTCTTATGCAGTGTGACGTTGACCTAACAGTAACACTACAAAACATTTCAGCGGGATAGAAGTGACCCGAAGCTACCGGAAATTCCACTACAAAAAGTGGTTTTTAGCCACAACCCAAATAGTTCCGGAATCAGTACCCATAATGAATAGAACATAGTAAAGCCAAAGGAGCCTAACCTGTAGCTCGATAGTTTGTGAAAACACCCGACAAGTTTGGTAATTGGCTCTGTGTCGGCTCACTACGGGTAGAGAAGCCGGTCTTCCAGAATAGTTTTGGACAGGTATTAAGTATTCTCATTTAAACGGTAAAGATGAATGCAATTTATCTTGTTCATCAAGACCGAAAAAGTAACGCGATTAGCATAACTTGGGGGGGGGGGAATGAGGAACGGGCGCCGTTTTTTGGATACTTTTTCTCATGGGAGCAAACCCGGATACTAGTTTGAATCATATTGACTACCTGGTGATTGTAACTACATGCGAACTCATAGTACACATTTAGACTGCTAGCAGGCACGAAACTTTGCTTCGGCTCGAATACTTCATGTTTACCGGTGAAGTAGTACAGCTTAACTGGCGAAAACCCGATTCCGTATTGATCTGTTTCATTTAGAACTATCATAATCAGCTTGATTAGTGCTTTCAACTGCGAGATATGTTCGCTCTACTTAAAATGTGAGGCAGGTGAACGATTACGCAATTTTCATGTAATATTTTCAATATTGACCTCGACATAAGTAACCGGGTAATTTCTGAGCCAATAAATTTTTGAGAAGACTAAATGTCCCCCTATTAGTCAGCAGAATCATTCTCAAGGCACTGTCTAGATGAGCCCTATATGGCGAATGCTTTTAACTCCGAAACAGGATAATTTTATTGGGGGCTTGCTCGCACACAACACCTGACCACGAATTGTTCAACGGGACAAGCTTGGAACACTCTACTGTATGGTGCTCGAAAATCACTGCGTCACGCACTAAAGTTAGACCACTTTTACTTCAAAACGGATTTAAATTAATCCACTGATGATGTTCCACACGGCTGGCATATACTTCATCTAGGTGACAACTGACAACGGAAGCATTTTTACAACTACAAAAATTTCAGTAGTGCAACGACGTATCAGCTTTCGTTGTTCTTCCTATCATCATTTTCGGTGGTGTGATTCGTTCAGGCAATTTTTCGCAATGGACGCAACAACCGTCTCCATTCTTTTAGCGCGTTTTAGACTGTTAATTAGGGTTTAAGGTCGATTAGGAAGACAGGCTTGTTTTAGGATCGTCTGCTGAATAGCGTAGGGTGGTGTAGTGTTCTAATACCTTTGCGCTTCACAGATGGGCGAAAACGGTGTGGTTTCAAGTTACCCGTATTACGATTAGGGATAATTAAGTACAATATGCCATATAAGCGAGACCTCTCAGCTAAAGTACCTGACTTGGTACAGGCGCTGACCAGAGACTTTGCGGGGAAATGTAATGAGCGAGGGATGATCAAGTGTTAAAGTTCAAATCTTTAAGCGGAAACAAGTTTTCAGGGGAATGAATGCACCATTCGCGTTGACTGACTAATACTGTTGCTTATTCCTGTAGGTGAGAAAAGACCGCCCACCTATTCAGTCTGTATTCCGCAACGTCAGTCTACAGCTCTGAAGCCGAGTTCCGATGATCCAATTAAAAGGGCGGCGGTGATCTTACCCAGATGGTCAGTAATGTGTCTTTTGGATGTTATTCAGTTGTCAAACAAGGTCACTTACGTGGCTCGTGCATCGTCCTCTTGAAATTCTTATCTTGGCCTTGGTGGACCAGTTGGACCAAGTATGCAATAAAAGGGAGCCTTATATATATATATATATATATATATATATATATATATATATAGNAAGTCACTTTTTGGGTTGCTGCTGCCATCTATGAAGAAGTTTGCCTTCGCTCACATTATGCTCTGACATGCACTTATGCAATGCTTCCGGTCTATGTGGATATTAGAAAAATGTGGGAATATGGTCAACAGCTCGTGAATGATTCAGGGGAGGGGGTGCTTGTTGACGTACATGCATGACTCATCTTGGATGTGCGTAACTGAAATGTGTTACAATAAATAAACTAACGAAAAAACAACCCATAAATTGTCATTAGTTTCAGTGCTTAGTAGAATGTGGATGAATAAGCAAGTCCGACATATAAAATGGAAAAGCGGCCGGGATCCTGAACAAGTGGTGAAGGATAGGGAGCAATACGCGTGGGAACCATAAAATATCATTCGCAAGTAACTGAAATTACAATAAATAAACTAGCGAAAAAACAACCCATAAATTGTCATTAGTTTCAGTGCTTAGTAGAATGTGGATGAATAAGCAAGTCCGACATATAAAATGGAAAAGCGGCCGGGATCCTGAACAAGTGGTGAAGGATAGGGAGCAATACGCGTGGGAACCATAAAATATCATTCGCAATGTTTTTCAAACAGGAATTGGTACACCTAACGAAAAAATGGCACACTCACCAGCCTCTTTAACCAAAATTAAACGTATTTTTCGACTTCACCCACTCGAGCAATGTAACAAAAACAGACTTTGCAATAGCAAAATTCCAAAATTATCAGTATTAGTCGTGTAATTAAAATGAATTGGAGATCAACAGCGTTGCTTGGACAGTCAAAATGCTATTAGGACCGTTGCTGTGGAATGTCATTCTTAATGGTCTGGCAATCAAAAATGTGTGAGAATGAAGTTTAGTCCCTCACAAATCCCTTCACTTTTACCTGTCATGACTCGGTGAGTTATACCATGGCCGACGTCTTGAGCCGGTTTACCAATGGTCACACGACCAATCCTCATAAGCGGCGAAACCGAAGGATGTTAGGTCTCCTAAAGGGGCGGCTCCAATTTGTGCATTGAACCGGGTGAATGTGCAATACTAAATGTTTCATGAGAGTTAGGTTGAGATAGCAAGCAAACGTAAATATTCAGCGGGAAATAGTGATTAAAGCGATTCAGTATGTTGAGGCGGTGGGCTTGAGGGAAGATCCCAGAATGTGCGTATGAGTATGGGATCAAACAACTGTCTGGTTACAGACCAGCCAGCCCTGTGGATACCAGGTCCGATTCAATTTACCGTATTCATTTCGATGACAAATTCTGGCGTCACGTAAAAACATTGAATTCTCAATTTGGCAAAATCAACTCGATTTAAGGACTGCAAGTCCCATTGGTGTGTGGAGACGCAAGCTCTGTTCTGTGGAGAATGATGTCGATACTAAACCACGAAGCGGCTTTCGGGAGGCTTGCCACGTAAATAGTTCCGTGTATTTTGGCAGTCAGTCGAATTCAGGCCTTATAGAACTTGCTTCGGTTATAGAATCGGACACAAGCAGGACCTTATTGTTCACACTATGTAAGATGGCCCAGAATAAAAGATTTGGATATAAGTCACTGTCAGTGACGAGCCTCTTCGGGAGGATGCTGATATCGGGAGAGAAATGTAGAGAAGCAGCGAAAATCTTCAAGCTTAAGGATGAATTAAATTTTACGCTTGATTGGAGTTGGTAAGGAAAGGTCTTCTGCATTTGGCTTTGTATTTTTTAAAAAGCCAGTCAAGAAAGTGTTGTGGCCTACTGTGGGTAAACACGTCGGTAAGTTTAGGCCGTATTGAAACCAATTTTAGATTTCCAGATGAAAGCACAAAGCTGCTTTTTCGAAATTTTTTTGAGATGTCACATAATTTGGCAGTTTAAGTTTAACAGAAGCGAGCTGCACGCGTACAAACATCATCTCTGACTTAACTATTGGAAAAATAAGTACAGTGGGCAAATAGCATGGCAGCCGAAACACCTTCAAGTTCCTTGCTCACGAGCAAGGAAATCGATATATACGGTCGGATCAATCAAACGGATCTCCAGATCCCTAATCGAGTATCATATTTTGACTGACTAATACTGTGCGTATTCACTCTTCACAAAATCATGATGAAAATATCAAAGTTAATCCAGGCTCACTTTGCGCAAGAAATTTTTATGCAGATTTATGCGACACTTCTACCCAACGGAGCTCAATTCGTCTGCGTTCTCTTACTCTCTTGCAATACGCAATATCTCTCTTTCTGCTCATTTAAAGTGTATTCACTCTTCACCTTGCGCTCCTCAGCTGAGAATATTGAAAATTTTGCCCGTTTTTTCGTGGTTGTTTTGAACGTTTCTGAAACCCGCACCCACACAGAGATGGTGGAAACACCTAGCTATCCCAAGCTCCTTTCATGAGATCGGATATCTGCTTTGCCTCTAGCTAGTGGACGTGGCTATTGGGGAAAACGTCTTCATAATAGTACAACGTTCCTTGGGAAATGCGACAACCTTATGTTAGGTAATCACTGGCAGAAGCTTAAGTATACGTACCTCAGCATCTATTTATCGGTTAACAAGAAGTATCCTCGATTACGACCCATTTCAGTCAAATGATCAAAATAATTCGAAAAATGCTGGTTTAACGCCCTGCGATACTAAGCCAAGTGATGTACAACATTTGAGGTTCGCACCACTATGTCTGTAATAGGGTCTCTCTGGGTTGATCTAGAGTTATGAGGGATAAATGGAATCTATTTTAGTATACAAGAAATAGTCATTCGGCCAGAACGTTTCACTCTCTACGGTGCTTGACGTTCTTTTCACTTCTATCCATATGGTGACGGTGCGGCATGCCCCACATTAAGGCACACTGCATGTGTTTGACTCAGCTACCCACCACATCTAACAGCGGTGTACGACAGAGCCACAGCAGTACGGGTAACATCTAGAACTCATGTTGACAGTGAAGAGAAAAAACGGGCATCGACGCAAATGCTTCGCGATGTTTCGTAAAACACTCTAATGAAGTTCATGGGAGTTCACTGTGTGTTCCTGGTAGGTTTGTGTCCCCAGGTTAGTATGGTACAGGCTCGTTTCCGTGAAAGAGGTGTGTTCTTTCCACAATTTCCTAAATGTCAGAGGCAATGTCTTTTAGCAATCCTCAAATGAGCTAGTTGCGTATAAGCATACTGCATTTATTTTGGGATATAATAGTCTTTTTTGCACCGTAATACATTATTTTTACCACGTAGATGGGGAAAGCAAGGAGTTTAAATGGCGAAAGCTTGTAGCTTTTAATTTGAGGCCCCTGCTAACAAAAGCCATGTACTGATTTGTGGCACAAAGCTTCTGCAAACATGCAAAAGTACCTTACATGATGACTCCACTCTCCGGTATGTCAACACAGATGGAATTCGAGCACAATGTCTACGAAAAGCCATCACGGACCGTAAGCAAACCATACAAGTCACCTGAAGCTTTGGAACAAATCACGTTCCTAGGTTCTGCTGTGTAATGTCAGGAGGTTTGCATAATTAAGTGGCCATGTGGCGTCGTGGTGCGCAAGTGTTAGTAAACACCTTCAACAAACACTAGACCGAGTAAACAGAAGATAGCGATTGTTGCTAGATGGTTGTCACTGCAAAAAAATCATTCGATCCGAACAAATGTCACATTTAGAGGACCATGATGTGTTGACATAACACTCATGCGCGTCAAAGTGAGGCTTCAATGAACTCCTGGTGTACGACATTATTTCAGTGAATATTTTGTTTAAAAGCTGCCCTAAAAACAAGATCATCATTCACCTTTCTGTTACAAATTGTTTTCGCCAGCAGGTGAGTATTTGGTTCCAGATATCCGATTAGATATTCAATTACAGAAGAATTTGAAGATGGTGTCTGCCTGGTTAGCCTACAAAGGACTGAAACCGCTAACAATATCTCCGAGAATTCATATATACAGTTGTTTCTGGGGCTTGTCCCCGGCACTGCTGTGAAGTGTAGCAATGTAAATCCATCCAGTATAAACCATATAGTTGAAAGCAACGTCTAAATGATCCTCGATCAAGATTAAACCCCTCCAAATCTGTCATTTCTAGGTCAGAGCTTAGAATAAGTTAAATGTTTTGATGGTGTTGAGGGCTTTAGATGAATCTCTTGGTTACCGCACATTTCTTGGGAAACAGTTGAACGTTCTTCTCGTTTTTATCGCACCAACGTAACAATGAGTGCATTTCATTTAGATATTAGCTGAATGATCCAATTCTTAACAGCCAAAAATGCACATCTGAGACTGGAACCTTCTAGCTGACAGACATTTTAGTGAAAAGTACGTTGATGAAATAAAATGGCTGGGCTTGAGCCAATCCTCTCATCGTATTATCTACTCCAGTTGACAATAAGGTGAGCGAAAGAATTCTTTTCGTTATCTTGTCCTACATATTCGGAGGTGAAGCTAAGTGAATCAAATTGTTCAAACCGGATGATATTATAATCGAGGGTAAGATGAGTAGGAATGACTGGATTGTACTCGGCTGGAAATTGCTTAGTATCCCATGTTGAACACCCAGACAGAAGAAGTGACACTGTAGACATGTGGAGTCTACAAAGTGAAACTAAACTCCGAATATGGAGGGCCCGGATTTCGATTATACTTTGTTGATATATTTCATCGTTTATCTGGCATTTTTCTATTACATTACAGTATTTTCTTTATAGCAATATGAATACACCGGATTAAACCGTTTTCCTCGCTTTGCAAAAGACAGATGTGGGTTTGGACAGTTGGATCATTCAGATGGAAGTGGATGTTGCCAGAGGTTCGCGATGGAAAAACTCGTCGTCTCCGGCTTTGTAAATGACAGGATATTCTGACGTCATAACGTTCGTACTAGCTTGTAATGGATGTGTTTTATCCTGATTTAGCAACAATACTTCCAAGAGCCAGTTTCTTGGTGAGGTGCGTGCGAAACTAATGACGTGCCAAGTTAGCTACAAACAGCTAAAAACGAAAATAACTGTCAGGTTTGATGTTTTAGACAAGGAAACACGAATGAATTGAAAACGTTAACTTCAGACTTTACTGAATTCTTTTCATACATTTTTTCTCAGCGAGTAATAAAACTGTGAAGCGATTAACGACTATTTCATTTTGCCACAAATGGCAGTGTCAACTACACTGCTTGATCGAAAAGACAGCAAATTTCCAGGCTTTATTTGGAGACTGAAAGGTATATGTGAATCAACAGTAAGATCTGGTGTGGGTGCTTACTATTAGTGTACTATTCAATCCGAATCCAGGATCTTGAGTGCCATTGAGCATAGTTCAGGCAAATGTGTTTTGTAACTTGCCTGATTGACTTGTTAACTTTTTAAATTAATTTCAGCCCCTTGTAGCAAGCAGAAGAGAGAAACCTCATTGTGGAGCGTTTGCAGTCAGCAATGCGGTTTAGGAGTTTCGGTCCGATGGACCACAGAAACTTACGACTGTCAGAATGTGACGCAGTTTCGTTTATGTTTCTGGCGCCCATGTGAAAGAGTACAAATTGATTCCGTAAGTAATTGACAATGGACGTTTTCAATGTTTGTGTGCCTCACGTCACCGTGCAATATGTGAAGTATAACCACGCACCGGTATACAAGTAACTTCGAGTGAAACCTGATTCACGAAAGTGGCATGTCTAAGATTTAACGAACATTGATTTCCAGGTTGAGTAGATGTGTCTGTAAACGACGAGGCCGATTAGCCGCGTAATCCTATTAGCTGCAAAACCCTTACGTGTGGAGTAAAACTTTTTGCACCAAAATGTTGTATTGTTGTGTATGTGCTCAAACCAGAAACTATCTCCATCTACGTAAATAGTTTTGCAGCTCACCAAATTTCATTGTCCACTCAAGCAATCATACCTCTGGCGGAGAAGTCTAGTGGAATAATTTTTCAGCATCGCTGAGACCCCCGGATGCATAAATAGGGCTCAAAGGTTAAGACTGGCACTCTGGACTCAATTGCCTGATTGCTTTAGTTCATCAGGAACACGTCATAGCTACCGAAAATCACACCCAATTGTCAAATACTGAGCCTTGTAATCGACTAAACCTCAAGTATCAACTCAAACAATGGCAGTAAGAAAATAACGTGGTTACGATTGTTAGTCTTAGAGGGATTATGGATTTTCGCAAGAACTATTGCTCCGGTTTTCATGATCGTAAAATACCATAAACTCATCGGAAATGACTGCATGACTACAATCACTACGGCAACAACCGACTCAGTCAAGCTAGCGTAACAAAACGAAGATGTCTGCTTAATAAAAAGTCCGGTTTTTGGGAACCACATTTTTACTCGCTTATTTTAGCTGCAGCGTTTTTACTGATATCCAATACCAAGGATATGTATAAATACCATATATAATATAATAATAATATAATACCGGTGAAATAACATATTATAATTGAGTATGTACGTGGGAATCATCCGCCATATGTTTTTGTCAGGTACGCGGAGGCGAGAACGTGTTGATGACAATCCTTACAGAACCGTTTGTAGTCCCGTCCGTAGATAGATTTGGGCCTCCGAAAACGAGCATGTTTCGCGTGTTTCTTTGGCTAAGAACTAAGAGGTATAATTTTGGACCAAACTTTTCAAAATGCCCCCAACGCCTACTTCAGGGTTGTGCCACTAATTAGACCGCCAAATTATACTCAGCTCGGTAATTGGATTTAGTAGGGTCCTAGGGACACCACACTGATTCGCATAGAACAAGGCATGAAAAAATTTATCACTGACTATAGATCTATTGAATAAAGCGAACCGCCGTTGCGCTCAATCTAGGAAGACTGACCTGATGCAGCGTGAATGCCATCCAGAAATCGTTATCAGATCGTAAGGAGTTTAACCACTGACAAAAACCGTGCCCCAGTCAATCGGGTTTCTTGTATGTCTGTTCGCCACAGTACGCTGCTATCAACAACAGACGTAGTTACTATGTGAGACTTGGCCTCTGGCGCGTGCTCATGAGTAGTTTGTTCAAACTCATTAAGCTAGTTTAATGTCTATGGGTGAATCTCGAAAACACGAATTTTTGCATTTTTACAGCTTATTTACGGACAAATGTGCATCATTTATGCTTACGTAAGTTTCTACTGAGTGGTAAAGTACGGCAGTCACAGGCGTTTTGGAAACTAATTTAACCTGTGCTGCTTATATAGTAAACGAAAAATGGCTGAAGCTCATGAAAAAGAATTAACAACACTGGATAAAAACTTTAATAAACTTTCTGTCAGCGGCAAGCGTTGCTTTCCTCTCGAGATGTGAATGTGTAATGCGACTGGACGGTATCCGTCTGGTCCGATCTACTCCGGTGGAAAAAATTCCGAGGAACATGAAATTAGTGTTTGTATGACAGATACACCCAGTGTGATGATTTGGTCATGTGCTATGAATGCTCAATTTCCACTTATATGGAGGAGCTTCACCTCCCACCTCCCAATCTACATATAAAAATCCTACAGGCAGGACACTATGATCCAGAAGCATGCAAACGAGGATATTACGAAATCTTCGTACTCTGATTCACTTCTCAGGATCAGGCTTGCAAGACAACAACTTTTTTCGGCTGGAGACAACATAAAATTTGGTCTCTGACCAATGCCAACGATGTTCGTGCTCTCAATTGCTTTCTAGATCACTCGATTTTTCGGGAGATGTAAGAACCTAAGGCGTTTGCTCTTTTCTACAGTCCTGTTTTCTCATTACTCAAAGGAACATTGCAGTGACTGATGATGCTGGGCGATTGTCGTGAAAATTAAAACATCGAGTTACAAAAATCGGATTTCAACGGAAAATTATATACTCCTTAGGGTGTGCCAGCTGAGTGATCGCACTGTAAGTAGATTGACTCCTCTTTCTCCCATGAGGTCAGGCGCCTCCATACGATTTTATCTAGAAGAAAACTGCTTCATGATAACTGTATCTTCACCGTCTGTCCAGAAAGCAGTTCAGTAGGACGAAATTTTACAAATAGAATAACAGAATTATCAAAATAGCAGTGGTGCCGTAAAGGGCTCCTCTTTAGACCTGCAAGTTGAGCTCCAAATTTAAGAGGGAATCGGAGAACGTTGAATTGTTCTAATTACTGATGATGAGACCGTATTCCAGTAAACAGTTGGTCCGCTTCATTGCTTTTTTACTACGAACTTTCAGTTAACTTGTTTCAGACGACTTTGCGACCCATACAGATTCCAGTTGACATTATTGCGTAGTCATTTAACTGCCACTCAGTTGAAGTTGCCGAATCCTGTCTGTGCCTCGCGATCAATGTTCACTCTAACAGCGCACTGACGACGCGGAGACTGGTGGACGGAAGCAATTGTATGATCCTGTCACAATCAAAGCCAGTAACCCGAAAAAATAGGCTTCTTTGCACACTGAAAGCGGGGAGGACAATGTTTGGCGCTTAACCTAGGCAAAAAGGTGAAAATGTAATGTGACGGAGATATACGAGCAGAGTAGACTAAACTTTCAAGGTCGTATAGGCTTTATAGACTGTGTACACTGGTTTAATTGTAACTGTGGGGAAAGTTACACTTACTGTACAGAGAGAATGAATTAACACTTGTGCGCATGACATCGAAGTTAGCTATTTGACAAAATGGTCTTACGGGCTAAAAAGGAGAGTGTTCTATACCTAGACATATCACCAAGTCAAACTCATCTCAGCGCTTATTGTCTTCCTTTTCCACCAAAATCCTCACAGTAAATCAATCAAAACATTTGCTTTATGTTGTTGACGTGTTCCCCTTAAACTGCCTTGGACTTGGTGATAAATTAGGTCACTCATTCCAAATTGGCTGCCTATTTGTCACATGGTTTTCTTCTGTTATCGACCTAAGTACTGACCAGACACTGTCAGCACCTGTCTCCGTATTCCCAATCGTTCACTTGGCTCATTCGGCCGAGAAGCTACCTTTAGGATGAAAAACTAACGAGCAGTCGGCATTCGACCCACAATTACAGTACACGCTCTTTTCAACACATACGTTGCGTGACATTTTAACACATTCGGTCGATTATATGGAAAGGGCGAGTGCAAAGCTTTATTTATATTTACGCGCTTAAAAGAAAAGAGCATAGCACATCGAAGTGGAAAACTATAATTTCTTACTTTTGCAATAGATCATAAGCTGTTAGCAGTAATGGTTTCAGTAGGTGACTGTCCAATATGTCAGTCGTCCGGGGGTTTTTTATTCGCAAGCAGTCATTTGGGGGTGAAGTGAGTTGTCCTAGAACCATAGGAACTACACTTAACTGATGACCAACTCACTGTGTAGAATAACGTGTCAGTGACCATTGTTTCTCGTTTGAACAGAAGCAGTCCAGCTCCTTCTGGGAGACATTTTCGTGAAGAACGCTGTCTGTAAAAAACATATTAGGGTTCTTTGTAGTGTACTACTCACAAGGTTGCTGACAATCCATCGACAGCCCACGACCGGTTTCGCCCTTCTTGGGGCTCATCATGTAAGCGCAGTCCCCAGGTTTCCGTCAATCTTATGTTTTACTTGAAACCAAACTGCACGAAATTAGCAAATATACACTCATTTGCAAACTAATTTGAGAATATCATAAACGAGAGATTCAGCTGGGTTCCAGGTGAGTCTCTCGAAATAACCAAATTAGTTTGCAAATGAGTGTATATTTGCTAATTTCGTGCAGTTTGGTTTCAAGTAAAACATAAGATTGACGGAAACCTGGGGACTGCGCTTACATGATGAGCCCCAAGAAGGGCGAAACCGGTCGTGGGCTGTCGATGGATTGTCAGCAACCTTGTGAGTAGTACATTACAAAGAACCCTAATATGTTTTTTTACAGACAGCCTTCTTCACGAAAATGTCTCCCAGAAGGAGCTGGACTGCTTCTGTTCAAACGAGAAACAATGGTCACTGACACGTTATTCTACACAGTGAGTTGGTCATCAGTTAAGTGTAGTTCCTATGGTTCTAGGACAACTCACTTCACCCCCAAATGACTGCTTGCGAATAAAACCCCCCCGGACGACTGACATATTGGACAGTCACCTACTGAAACCATTACTGCTAACAGCTTATGATCTATTGCAAAAGTAAGAAATTATAGTTTTCCACTTTGATGTGCTATGCTCTTTTCTTTTAAGCGCGTAAATATAAATAAAGCTTTGCACTCGCCCTTTCCATATAATCGACCGA